TCTCTATAGGCTGCAGGCCGCACCTCTGAGGAAGCTCCCCTGACATCAGACCCTACCCCCAAGTCACACCATCACGTACCTGCCGAGTTTGACAGAGAGCTCTGACCCCCACTCCCACAGCTCCCCAAAACACTTTACTTGTAGACATGCTGGTTGCATAGACATTTGGTAGAAGGTGGGGTGGTAGGGCTGGATAATAGCGTCAGATTACACAGATCTGTTCTGGGCTCGTCGTTCTGTGCCATTGTCTCCTCTAATATCCTCCTTTTATCTTAATTAGAGAACGTGTAATGCACACGTTGGTATCTGTGCCCATGTCTCCTCAAAATGCCCTCCTCTCTCAGCCTGCCCCTTCACTTTCTCATTTGAAGTCCAAGCTTCCTCTTCCATAGGGATCTTAACTTTCCTTCGGGAAAGAAGGAAAGCCAGCCCATGAAAGCCCCCGCCGTATTTTATGGCACTTGAGTTTACAGATCCTTTGACTTTATCGTTGCTTTATGAACAATTGGCACCTTTATCCTGTTGCTTCCTTTGAGCCGTGAGCGTGATAGGACCCTGTGTGCCCCATCTTATTACTGTCACTGACATTTTCTTTCATTGGAATAGTTCGTAAGTATTTTCTAATTGCGTGTGACTCACTGGGAGAAATGCGACCAGTCGGGCAAATTGAGTTTGTTACCGAGCACTCCTCAAGCCTCGTTACTTCTGAGTTTCTGTGGATTCCCTCGGATTCTCTAGATGGGTAGCTTTTTGTTTGAAAATCATATGGTTTCTTTCTTCCGCTTCAAATCTTGACACTTTGGGTTTGTTTGCATCATTCTGCTATCACGGAGATACTGGGCATCCTTAGCTTTTGCTGGGCTTTAAAGGACACGATGCTAGCTGTTTTCTGTTCGGTGTTTTGTTGACTATAAATATTTTGATAAATACTTTTGCCTTATCAAATCTGCTGAATTTTTCAAAAATACTTTTATTGGGGCCTCTGAAGTCTCTTATCACCATCCATACATTCCTCCAGCGTGTCCAGCACATTTGCACATATGCCGCCATCATCCTTTTCAAAGCATTTCTTCCCACTTGAGCCCCTGATATCAGCTCCCCACTTCTCCCTCCTCCCTCCCCTGCCCGCCCTCCCTCACGAACCCTTGATAAGTTATAGATCATTATTTCTATATCTTACATCGTCCTCCATCGCCCCTCACCCACTTTTCCGTTATTCGTCCCCATGGAAGGTGGTTCTAGGTTGATCCTTGTGGTTGATTCCCTCATTTTACCCCCACCCTCCCCTAATCCTCCTGGTATCTCTACTCTCTTTGTTGGCCCTGAGGGGTTTATCTATCCTGGATTCTGTGTTGCAGGCTCTTATCTATAGTAGTGTGCATGCTCTAATCCGATTTGTAAGGTAGAATTGAGGTCATGATAGTGGGGTGAAGGAAGCACCAAAGAACTAGAGGAATGTTGTGTGTTTCATCGGTGTTACACTGCACCCTGACTGGCTTATCTCTTCCCTGTGACCCCTCTGTGAGGGGATATCCAATTGTCTACAGATGCGCATTGGGTCTCCACTCCATGTTCCCCCCCTTCACCTTGGGTGTGGTTTTGTTCTTCTGTCAAGGCTGCTGAATTTTAAGGAATGCATTTCTAATTTTACCTTTTCTGCATCTGATGGGAAACCAGGTGTTCTTATCTATCTTTTCATCTGTTGGTGAGGCACATGCTCTACGTTACAGCATCCTGTTCTTGGGTCAGCCGTGCTCCACCATGGGGGGTTCCACGTGTCTGCCCCCTTTAGCGCAGGATCCAGTCTGTAGAAGCTGCTGTTGTCAAGTGCCGGCTCCCAGGTTCCCGCTCACAGCGGCCCGGTGTGCAGTAGAGCCAAACACCCTGCAGCCTGCACCAGCCCACGGTCCCGTGCTGTGCTGGGCTGTGGTGCAGCCACGGCATCAGCCCAGCTGTGTCCACCATCTCATGGAGGAATGGGTCCTCTGCTGACCCTCTGTTCCCAGGCATGATCACCTTCCCCAGGGACTCTTGTGTTTCCCTCCCACCCATCCACCCCTTAACATTTCCAAAGCCTCTCTTCTAAGGTGCGTTCCAAAACAGGTTTGTTCTTCTAGAGCAGTGGTTCTCAACCTTCCTCATGCCACGACCCCTTAATACAGTTCCTCATGTGGTAGTGACCCCCCCCCAACCCTACAATTATTTTCATTGCTATTTCATGAATCAGGTGACCCCTGTGAAAGGGTTGTTCAACCCCCAAAGGGGTCAAGACCCGCAGGTTGAGAACCACTGTCGTAGCCTCTTCGCCAGCACTATAATTCCTTTTAGCTCTCGCAGGACTTAAAATAGAGCTTTTCACATACTTGAAATCAGGTCCCTGCCCAGTTATAAATCCACAGCAGGTTTAGCATAAAGCTGTAATTGAGTGCTAATGGCAGAGTGCCCATACAAGAATTCTTACCACGGCCTGTTTCATAGTGGGAGCAGCCGGGCGCCCTTAGAGCGCCCCCTGTCAGGGACTAGTTGATACAACGGCCATGTGTGCATCACTGGTAGCACCAAATAGCATCACAAAGGGCAGTAGTTACGCTGTGCCACGCTGTGCCCTTTGGTTTCTTTCTGGACATCTCTTTTTCTCTCACCTTGTGGTGGCACCTATGCCCACGTGTTAGCCTGGCCAGACAGGGCTCGCCCCTGGACATCTTAAATGGCTGTGCTCCTGGACACCGTGAGTTGACTGAGAACACCGGCTTGGTGGCTGTTTTAAAAAAGCCTTCATGAAACACGGAAGCATCAACTTCCAGATCTAACACACAAACGTCTACATCCCGGGTGGGGACATTCCAAACAATGAGCTTTAAGGACAGCCACCCTTCTCTTTAGCTAAAAACATAAACAAAACAGAAAAAAACCTCTTCCAGGATTGTGTTTCCTTGTGATAGGTCTTTGGAGCCCCCTTGGGCAGGCATCCCTTCGTTTCCATGGCGTTGGGAGCAGTGCTTAAGGGTTGTTTGGGTTTCTGGCAAAGGATTCTGGGAGCCACGGTGATGCAGCGGGGTAAGCCTGGACTGTTACCCAGAATGTGGGCATCCGAGCCCCCAGCCGAAGACCCCTCGGGCTGTAGTAACGGAGCACCCCAAAGTGGGTGGCTGGAAGTCTGACACCGGGCACCGGCCAGCTGGGTGCCCTCTGGGGGTGGG